GGGCGGGGCGTGAGCGGCGGACGGCGGGCGCCTCGCGGGGGTCGGCTCCCCCCTCGCCCGGCCCGCCCTTCTGCCCTTCGGCGTTGGTGACACCGCGGTTCCCAGGGGAACTCCCGCTCCGTGTCCAAAACCAATACAGTTTTTTGAATAAACAGTGTGTATCGCGGGCAGTTTTGCTCTGTCCATATTTATTTAGTTTTTATGTTTACTTACTTATTTATTTAGCTAGCTAGCTAGCTAGAGTCTCTCTGTGTAGTTCAGGCTGGCCCTGAGTTCACTAGGTAGCCCAGGATAGCCTTGACCTCAAAGTGCTCCTCCTGCCTCGGCCTCCCAAGTCCTGGGAGCACTGGCGTGCACCACTAAGCCAGGCTTCCATATTCATGTTCCGTCAGCCTCTTCACTATTTTTTTAGTATGTGGTTTTTAAAAATTATAAATTAATCAAGTCAAATGCATGGTCTTGTTTTTTGTCTTTTTTAGACAGTGTCTTCGCTCTGCAGTTCAGGCTGCCCTTGAGTTCACTTTGTAGCCCAGGCCAGTCTGGAATTCGCAACGATCCTCCCCCCTCGGCCTCCCAAGTGCTGGGATTACAGGCGTGCGCCACTGTGCCCGGCTCAAATCTGCATTTTGTGCTGTAATTCTTTGTCACTTATTGTCTTCAGTATTTCCACACTAGGTAAAAATCTTATTAGAAATCCCTGGGAGTCTAATCATCCTGATCTTTTGTGTTGTCTCGAGTTCATTTGTTGTAAGTAGACTGTTCCCTCATCTGGCTTGTAACTTGGTGTCATGGCTTCTGGGTCCATGTCCCCCCGGAGCTTCAAATGCTTGAAGGTGGGACTTTTGGGAGGTGACTGTAACTCGGTGTGAAGCTGGACCAGTCCACTGATGACAGGTTTATAACATGGTGGGAAGTGGTGGGTCACTGCGGGGGTGGCCTGGAAGAACATATACATGGAAGAAGGGTATTACAGGAAGTAAGGTGCTGGGGGGCCGGGTATACAGCTCAATGGCACAAGCGCCTGCTTGGCAAGTCCAAGGTCCTGAGTTCGATTTTCGATTCAAAAAAAAAAAAAAAAAGAATAAAGTGCTGCGGTGGAGGGTAAGTCTAAGGAGTAGAACTTCGATGCAGTATTTCTGATATAACTGTCTTGCCGTTAGGTCTAAGTGAACATTGAACAAGCAGACCAACAGGGAGATGACTGATCGATTTCAGTCCCCGGCAGAACCTGGAAGACTATGAGAAGGAACAGAAGGGCACCTGTGCTGCGGAAGTCAGTGGTGAAACGCAGGGAAGCTGTCCTGGTACGTGCTGCGCGCTACTGACTTGAACTGCCGTGACTGACACATTGCAGGGGGCACCGCAGGCGGGGGGCACCGGCGTAGAACTGCGGCCCCGCTGGCCTCCGGTGAGCACAAGGCAGAAACGCGGGCGCAGGGACGACGGGGCGCCGCAGGTTCCAGGGAGCAGCCGAGAGCCGAGACCGGGTCGCTCGCCTGGGCCCGTCCCGAGGAGGCAGGTTTGAGTGGGTGAAAGCAGGGTGAGCCGGACGCTCGCGGGGCCTCTGCCCAGAAGAGGCGAGGGCCCCCGGGTCTCGAAGGTTGAAGTAATTCGGTGTCTGTTCACCCCTGGATCACAGTGACAACCTAGCCAGACTAGGTCGCTGTAGGCGGCAGCTGGGACCAGGGTGGGGGCCGGGGAGAGTCCGTGGGTTGGTTCCCTGTGGATGGCACCTGCGAAAGGGACCTGGGGACAGTGGTGTAGCTGGTTCACCACTCACATAACCTTCCTAAATGGGGGAGGAGCAATGAAAACCAAGTATGATCATTTAATTAGATGAAAACTGAATACTATTGTTTCTCATGGTTTACTCTATTCCAAGCTAATCACACCATTATCCAAATTTCTCTCCCAATGTATTTCCTTCTTTGTTTGCTTTTTCTGCGAGAGTCTTACTATAGTGCAGGCTGGCCCTGAACTCCCTTATGTATCCCAGCCTGGCCTCGAACTCACAACGACCCTCCTGCCTCAGCCTCCCAAGCCAATGTATTTTCTTGTGATTACATTGTTACTTTTCCCCTTTTCATTTCAAAGTAAATCCCAAAGTTAATACTCAAAGTCACAAAGAAGTCAGAATTAAATTTTATTTCACATTGATAGAAATCATGAAAAACATTTACACTGTCCCACATTATAGCACAATATTTCAACGGAATAGTTCTTGCTATAAATAAGATCTTACTGATTTGTATAACTGAACTAAGTCTACAGTTCTGCAAGGTAAAGCAGAATAACTTAGTAAATGATTGTTTAAAATTTTTAAATCTAGAAATAAACATATGGCTTCATTATAAACATCCCATGTAGTCCATTACTAGATTACTTTCATGATTAATTAGCACCATAAAGATGCACTCTTAACATTGTTTTGGTAAGTTGAAATACAGCAGAAAAATTAATACAGTTCAAAAATATGAAGCATACATTTTTGCTACATTTTACATTACATGGTAACTATACCATATTTATAGGGTTCTGATTAACTGTTATTATCCATAAAATTGTTCTCAAATTTTTGACTATTAATCTGGAAATTTTGACTATTTAAAATCAAATGACTGCCATTTTTATGTCTGCACAAAAGACTAATTTTTAAAAATAATTTGAAGTGAAAGTTTCAAGAAAGACCACTGGCAGATAACAATAAAGCAGTTTTGTCATTTTCTACAGTAGTTGGTTTCAAAAATATGTACAGAGAAAGGAAACTTAAATGTGACAAACCAATAATTTTAGAAATTTAAGATCTGTCTTAAATATTTCTGTACATGTCAATATGATCTAATTATTCATTCAACTGCTTACATAAAAATAATAACCTTTTATTATCAGAATTGCAGACTCTAAGTCTAAATTTGAACTAAAGTATAATGATTTGAAATATATAAGGTAAGAAGTTTAAATAATGTTTGGTTTCTTTTAAAGTGTGTATACATTTTAAATATCTTATGTCTGTAATTGACATTGTCAAATTACAGCATGTATAGACGGTAGATGTCGACAGCAGGGAGGCAATATATTCGGTCTGCTATGAAGAATACTCATGAAAGAAAACATTTTTTTCCTTGAGAAAATATTAAATACAAACAACATCAAGGAAAAGAAAAACCTGGTCCCTCAAACAAAGGGGCCATTAAATGAAGGGAGCAGTGTTACTCTTTACTGACAAAAGCATCATCCCTGTTATCAAGAATAATGAAGTAACATCTAATTCTTACGTATTACAATCATTCTGCATAATGAACACATATAGAAAAATACAGACACTGCATGGTGACTAAGCAACTCTGGAATAAATCCATAGACTAAGTCACAGCATGCCTAAATCATTTATACCTAACCTGTTCATTTTACCTGAACAAATTTTCAATAGTGTACTGGTAATTTTCAAGTGATGTAATAAAAAAAATCTGGTTGTACTATTTTATTATTTTGCTGAATTACATTTGAGAGAAAGAACCTAGCTGCCTCACCTGTTTTAATACTAATATATTCTGGATCACATTATACAAATACATGTATAGAAACTTAAAAGATCATAAATTTCCCACAAGGAAACGTTATTTATTATATATCATTGATGTGTATTTGCAAAACATTTTAACACTGCAAACATTAGAAGTTTTAGGACTGGGCTTGGGAAAAGTGTATCCTCTACTACGATGTTGCTGGTGTTCTTCTACACAAGGCCCCTTAATGACGTCAGTCGATCGGAGGTAGGAGTTTATCAATGAATTGCTTGACATCCATCATTTCCTGTTTGGAATAAAGTGATTTAATGAGCAGCTACCTAAGTCACAAACCCCCATTAAAATGTCATAAACAAAATCCATGTGGTGTGCATACATAAAGAGAAACCACATTTTTAGTACTATAATAAAAAGACAAAAATATGAGGCTCCAGTAGAAATTTTAAAATATTCTCTATGAGGACTGCTATTTTACAATGAAATGATGCCCCTCTATTATCTAACTCCTTAAAAACGGCATGCGTTTTCCCAGACGTAAATGAAACACTGGGGCCAGGGACATGACTCAGCGGCCCAGGGCCTGCCTGGCAAGTAGGAGATCGTGAGCTCGATTCCTGGTACCAAAAAAAATTAAAATTAAGAAACAAAACAAACAGTGGGGAGGGAGTGAGGAAGTACAGAAGTGACTGCACCTATACTGTGAAGTCCCATCAAGTATACAATTACTGACCCCTCAAGTAAGAATGCCTCGCTTCTCAGTGGAATGAAATGCCAAACTCAGAGCCTGAACTATTCTGTGTCTTCATGAACAGTGTGAGACAGCATGGCCCTCCGAGCACTGCAAGATGTGAACACAGACGCACCAAGGGTTTACTGCAGGATAAACTGTGGAACTTCCTCCTGGAAAACTACACCTGGCTTCACTTGCTCACCTCCCACCATCAGCTCTTGTACGTCAAGGCCTCACCACTCCACAAACTAGCCGTGCGTATCACCCTCAGCCCTCCTCAGAAGAGAGCCTTGGCACACGAGCTGCACTCTAGGACACCCTGAAGCCTGCCAGTTTCCGATGACGCTGCCCCTCCCACCGTGGCACGCCTCACTTCCTGCCCCTGCTCATTCAGTCCCGCATCCTCACTGCGGCCCTACAGCGCCCCGAGGTGAGGGGACCCGTGACGCTGGTCACTCAGGCGCTGCTGGGAAATCACGGTCCTAGCTCCTCCCTCCTGGACTCCATACTTCAGCTCTTCACATCAGCAGGGAGAGGGAAGGGTCCTCGGCCCCTTGTCCTTCTCAATACACTACACCACTGCCCACCGCCTCTGCTCCTAAGCCGACAATGTAACCGTGCAGGACAGTGCTGCTGGCTTAGACTACTCACTGCTCAGCAATTTAATCACTGTTATCCTAGACCTTCTCAAGCCCCCCAGACAGTCCTGGCCGCCTACGTTCTTTGCCAATGACCACATCGAACCGCATCTAAGCACCCAAGAACTCTTTCCTGTCCTGACAGCTCTTGTCTGTACTTATCCATCCTCTTCTATCTTGATTCCCGGGTAGTTTTTCCTCTTTAAGGTAGCACAACCTGCACACGCCTGTAATCCCAGCACTAAGGAGGCTGAACCCGGAGCATTATTGTGAGTTCGAGACCAGCCTGGGCTACAAAGTGAGCTCAAGGCTAGCCAAAACTGCATAGCGAGACCCTGTCTCAAAAAAAACAAAAAAAGACAAAAAGAGAAACAAAAAGGTACACAACCCACCTCTGGCCCTTGTTCTAGTGCACGTTCCTTCTAACGCTGTCTATCAGTTACCGTCCGCTTACTGCACCCTGTTCCCCCTCCCTACTGTGAGGAGACTGGCCGCTCTTCCGCCTCTGCGCCACACCCCTTTCAGGGCTGCACCCGCTGCCTCTTGCTCATTCTCCTCCCACGCCGCAGGTCACCGCATGCTGTCCCCGTCCCAGCGTCCAGGGCATGGGAGGGCAGTTTCTTTCTGAGCTATTTCTCCTTAATCCTTCTCTCAAACAGAGTCCTGCTCTTACTGAAATTCTCTTATTCTTAACACCCTTTCTCCTTACCCAAGCTAACGTGTCACCCGGAGTTCTGTCCCTCAGCTGGCTTCTCTTGATGTTCTCAGTTCTTCATGGATGACAATTCTGATGATCACTGTATTCCCAATCTCCATTTACAGGCTTGAGATTGAGACAAGTATTTCCAAAATCCCGTTTTGGTATCATGTTTACTTAACTCAGTATGATCTGCTTCCTGTTACTCAAAAACTATTCTTGTACCTACTTTATGGTTGCATCTTCATCTGAGCTACAAATCTGAGGTCTCTTGCTATCTCCTTTCCCATGCATAGAATTAACGTCTAACTCCTACCGGATTCTGCTTCACCTTGTCTGGGATATAAACTAGATCATTCCTCATTTTAGACAACTCACTGACAGTTTCTTGCTGCCTGGAGAAGAACTCCCTCTCCTCAGCCCAACACAGAAGCTTTCTACAACTGAGGTCCTGATTCCTGCGTCTTCTACCCTGTGACATCTAGCTTTTCCAAGGCTCCGGCCCCGCGGTCCCTTTCCTGCATATCTGCTACCAGACCCTACTCGGTCTCCAAACCTCCCTCTTTCATCACGAGCTCAGTGCCTAAGATAAAATCAACCTCCCTCTTAGTTTTTTAGGGCATATTTCAAAAGTTGCTAATGTAACACGTATCATATTCTGTTTTCTGTATAGCTATTTGTACACACATCTTTCTCACCTATTAAAACTATCTTAACTTTTAACAGAATACTATTAGTTTTTGGATTATGTACAATGATTAGATATAATGGGAAATCAGATACTTGTTGAATTTAATTGAATAATCTTTCAGTGAAAGTCCTATGATTTGATATGAATTCGTATTTACTCCTTTATATTTTCCATGAGAAGCAGCGCATGGAAGAAGTCGAGACTGGCTCTATGCACCGCTCCCACATACCCACCTGCTGACATGAGCTATGCATCATGCCTTCATAGATTTTGAACGTCACATTGGCTGGATTTACCAATGATTTCAGTTTCTCAACAGTAACAGAGCCAAACATTAGGGGAACTAAAGGGTCACAATCCCCATGGCACTGAAGAATAGAAATATCTTTGTTAACACCACTGACAGGACCCTGAGAAAAAACAAAAAACAAAAATGAGTATTACTTAGTCAAGTGTATACAGCATTACTCTAAGCATTTAGAACTATACTCAGACATGCACATACATGTATTATGTATACCTGAGGTTATATCTGGCCAAGAAATAGTCTCCCATTCCTATATTCCCCATATCCTTTTACTGAAATTTCTATAGGATACATGATTATGCTGCCTTATATTAATACATATCTTTCTAGTGAATCTGTTTCTGTAAGTTAGTTATATTTTAATTCGTCTTCATATTTTCAGTGTCTTGACATGGGAGGTAATAACTTTCATCGTTATGTTTCCCCAGCTTCTATTTTATATAAGTAAGAGTTAATACACAACACCTATTACATATGAGACACCAAGTTATGAAACAATTAACAAGCCCCAACTCCCCAGATTTAAAAATGAACTCAGGGGGCCAGGGATACAGCTTAGTGGCACAGCGCCTGCCTGGCAAGCACAAGGCCATGAGTTCAAATCCTGTTACCAAAAACAAAAAAAAAAAGGAAGAAAGAACTTAGAGCTAGGGATATGGCTCAGTGGTTTTAGATAGACAGACAGACGGACAGACAGATCCATCCATCCATCCATACTGGCGATGGAACCCTTGGGCCTCATACGTGTAGGCAAGGACTCCACTGTTAAGCTAAACCTCAGCCCAAACACTGAATATATTAAACATTTAAGAAGTACTTTTTTGTTGTTTGTTTTAAGATATCGTCTTGCTAGTAGTCTAGGGTAACTTTCAACTCGCTATGTACCAAAGGTGGCCTCGAACTCGTGATGTGATCCTCCCGCCTCAGCCTCCCAAGGGCTAGGATTACAGGTGTGCGCCACCACACCCAGCTAAAACATTTCTATGTGTTAAAAACAGCCTTGAGACCAAAATGTATAATAGGTATTGTGAAATAGGAAGATAATGTCCAAATGAGAAGGGGAACTAGAGGGGAGGGGGAAGGAAGGCAGAGAAAAGAGAAAAATGACAAGAAAAGGAGGCAAGACTGTCAACAAAGCCTTTGTAAATACGGACAGGAGAGGGGCTGAAGGGAGGGGAGAGCAATGGGGGTAAAAAGAATCAAGACGTATCACGTTCAGGTACAAATCCCCTGTGATGAATATGATCGTCCTATTCGTGTACCTAAAATGTACCAATTAACTAGATTAACTAAAAAAATAAATCAGTACATCTAGGAGTAAAAAATGAAGTCTTGATTTTCACATATATCCTAAAATGTATCCAATCTGCAAATACAGGATTTATCACAAGGTTTCTTACTCCACTCCATGTAACGCATCAAGAGTACAGTGTACAAGTAAAGCCTCGTAACATATCACCAGAGTCTAAAGAAAATTTTTTACAACAAAAAAGATGACTGAGGCAAAGGATGGACTTGGTTGGTAACGATGTGTCAATGCAGGTTCACCGCTACAATGGAGGAGCCATAGGCTGTGCTACACAGGGACAGGGAGGACACGGTAACTATGTACTTTCCATCAGTTTTACTAAAATCCTGAAACTGGTCTAAAAACCCTAATGTCTATGAATTAAACGTGAAAAGATGGCCTTCTCCCAGTATCTGCTGCTCAGCGCAATAACCTGTCTTGGAACCGACCAGGCTACCTGTGGGAATGAAGCCCGGAGTGGAAGCCAGCAACTAAGCGCGGTGACACCCGCCAGTTTCTGCTGCGTGGTCAGCGCAGTGTATAAAGACAGAGCTCCTCCCTGGAAAGAAAGCAGGGGAACGTCAATGGAACACACACACTGCCAAGAATAGTACCAGATTTCTTTGCTGTTAAGGTTCATCCATGAAAAAATCAAACTGGGTGGCTGATGTCAAATCTGATCAGGTAAACAAAAAATATACTCTCAAAAAGGACACAGTTCCAACACCAGAAAGGATGTACCAGCAACTGATGTTACCGTCTACGTCAGGAGTTCAAGATAATGACTATGCAGCAGGCACCTTTCCATCCCTTCCCACCCAGCTTGTGACACCATGTCCTGGGACTACTTCTTTATTTATTTTTTTGTTTTTATTTTCAAGAGAGTAGAAAAAGAAACAGCAGCAGCAGCATACCAACATCACAGACATAAAATAAAGCAACAACATTAAAAGTAATACAGCGTTTCAAACAAAATGATGGGAATTAACAGCGGTTGTTATATTCCATATTGTTACCTTCAACTACACTGCTCAGATTACCAGATACAAGAATGGAAGATTGTTCAAACCATTAAAAGGAATAAAACAAAATTATTAGATAAAACATTAGAGATAATGCAGAGTTTCACTAGACAAGATGGTAGGAATTCACCAATGGTTGTTCCATTGCATACTGGTCAGAACGTAAGTTTTAAGCATTAACTGAAGGGAACTGCTTTCTTGCAGTTCCCTACCCACGAGGACAGGACAGTTTCTCTCACTGCAGGGTGGTGCCCCTCTCCTAGGACTGTGGACTGGGATTCCGTGACTGCTGGGCAGCCTCTGTGCAACTGTAACTACAGCCTGCACTTCCGGCGCTGGGCAGGCTACAAGGCCAGTGGGAGACGGAGGCAGGGAAAGCAGATGAGCAGGGAGACGATGGAGACAGCGCCAGATGGTTCTTCCAGTCCTGGGCACTGAGGCTTTACATTCTTTCTCTCTTCTTCATTTCTCCCCTCCCAGCACCACCACGCTTCTTCCTACCCTGGGGATCCAGTGCAGGACCTCCGCACTGAGCTACATCCCCAACCCTTATTTGTTTTGAGACAGGGTCTCACTAAACTGCCCAGCATAGGCTTGAACTTTTGATCCTCTTGCCTGGGCCCCTGCGTGCTTCATCACCGTGCCTGGCTCTCTTTCCTAAGTATTTTAGGAATTGGTTTCAATAGGCCATAATCAACTTCAAGTAAAATTCCTCTGCATACTTGCTATTTTTTAATCAAGTATTCATTTCTGTGCCTATGTTTGTGTCAAGATGTGTACCATTTTATTAAATCACTTCAACACATTAGTACCTTTTCATTGTACTGTATCAACAACGTATCTTTGCTATTGAATTCTATTGTCTACATGAGTCCAGAATTCTGACATTTCTCTTAGCAAGGTAATCAAACAGTACTGCTTATTTAGAAGAAGAGATGAGAAATGAAAGCACCCTGAAGACTGGCCACATGGAAACAGGTGAAAAGCTGAAGATGCAAGATCAAGGATAAGGAAAACTGGCCACGGGGACACACACCTATAATCTCCATACCTGGGACTGCAGAGAGGTCAAGGGCGGCCTGGGCCACACCGCGAGACCCTGTCTCGTAAACAGATGAATGGAAACTTACTCTTGAGAAAGTATGTATGATTGGAGAAAAGGTACAGAGAAGAAGATGCCAAAACAAACATCATATATTTATATCTAAAATCTATCCAGAGGAGAAGAAATTCTCATATTATCTACCTTACTGTTCCTATTACTAGTCTCTTCCTAGTACACAGAATTTTAAGAGTTCTGCAGCCGGGCATGGTGGTGCGTGCCTGGAATCCCAGCACTCAGGAGGCTGAGGCAGAAGGATCGTTGAGAGTTTGAGACCAGCCTGGGCTACAAAGAGAGCTCAAGAGCAGCCTGAACTGCATAGTGAGACCCTGTCTCAAGAAGACAAAAAAAAGCGCGTTCTGATGTGTTATATACATGTAACAACTCCTCACAATGAATGTAATCAGTACAAACTGCAAATATGTACTAACAAAAATTCTAAAAAACGAAAATATATTCCAGGTCCCAATCAGTTTACTTATTAAGTAATAAAAGTAAAAGCTACTGCTGAAGAGACAGAAAATGAGAAAAGTAGAAAAGTACACCAAGGAGAATGAGTTAGTTCCAGTCCAATCAAACATTTCAGCATTAGTATCAGTCAAGAACTTACAGCATCTTCTAAAAAAGGACTCTTCCATAAAAGACTGAAACCACAGACTTCTAGACAGATACACAGATGGTACAGACATACCACTCAAATTTTCTTACCTGAGAAAATCCTCCCAAAATAATTCTGTTAGAAGGAATGCCGTTCTTCACCTCTTGATCTATTAAAGCTTTTACTAAAAACAAGAAGTTAACCACATACTTTCAGAATTAAACCCATTAACAAAATGTAAAATAGGAAAAAAATAACAGCAAAGCACATAGTCTATATCCAGGATGAAAATACATGAAATCTTGAAGTGCTCCGTAAAATACAAAATTAGAATGCATTTTTCATTATGAAATTTCTCAGATTTTGCAGGTGCTGCTTAACCCAAAAATTTAGCGATTCCTTGTTACACACTTTGTTATGACACTTTCTGTCCTCACAAGATAAACGCTCTTTACTTACTTAGGGTTAATCCGGCTCATGCACCTTTTGTATCTCTTTAATAGACCACGGCGCATTCGCACCTAAACGCTCTTTTCAAACAGTGTACAGTTAAATGCGCTACACTCTCGAGGTTGGGGACGTTGCTCTTCTCCGCTGGCGCTGAGCACGCGGCCTCGCAGCGGCCGCAGCCTCCCTACACCGAGGCAGGGTCTCTAACCGCGCAGCCCAGGGTGGGCTCCACCTTGAGTCCTATTCGCGCTGCTTTCTCCGCTGCCCACATACGCCGAAGCCGAATGCTCACGTATCTGACCCGCCGAAGCTCCCTATCCGCCGCCCCCGCCCGTCTGCCTCCCCCACCGCCACACCGAGTCCCGGCTCGCAGGGCGGCGCACGAACAGCCGACCGGCCCGGGCGGGAAGGGCGCTGCCGCCGGGGCCTCGGACCGCCCACGCGCTCTGCACGAGTACAAGCGCTCACGAAGGCAACTGTCTCCATAGAAACTTCCGAGACTCACCGTTCTCTGCCGCGCGTTTAATTCCAGGTTCATCCTCCTGGGAATCCGGCGAAAGCCCAATGATATCAAACCTGGAAAAGCAGGCCGAGTCTTAGGAGAGCTCTCCCTTGGAGTCCGTTCCGGGAGCGCGCCTCGCCGAGCACCGTGCACAGCTCTCCCTCCCCCGGGCGGGACACTCGCAGCGCCCACAGAAGCCGCACCTTAACTTGAACCTGAACCCGAGTTCCTTTCGCCCCAACGGGGCACGGGCTCTGCGTTAAACACCCACGGCGTCGCACGAGTTTCGGGTGTGGACAGCCCCAGAAATGACTGGCTCAACCTTACACTCAACCCACAACCCCGACGGCTCCGTAAGCCTCAGCGGCTAGCCTCCCGTCCCGACCGCACCGCTCCGCGTCCACCGCCGCCTCTGTCCCCGCACTCTCCGCCC